TCTGACGATATACCAGCAGAAGCACTGAAACCAGACATTGAAATAACTGCAAACATGCTTCACCTTCTGTTCAAGAAGATTTGGGAAGAGGAACAAGTGCCAATGGACTGAAAAGAAGGATATCTCATCAAGATACAAAAGAAAGGAAATCTGAGCCAATGTGAGAATTACAGAGGCATCAGTTTGTTGTCAGTACCAGGAAAAGTTTTCGACAGAGTGCTACTGAACCGGATGAAAGACGCAGTAGACGCCGAACTTCGGGATCATCAGGCTGGATTCCGTAGGGATCGGTCGTGTACAAACCGGATCATCGTTGAATAGTCAGTTGAGTGGAATTCGCCATTATACATCAACTTCATTGACTATGTGCAGGCGTTTGACAGTGTGGGCAGGAAAACATTATGGAAACTTCTTCGACACTATGGAGTTCCTCAGAAGATTGTCAACATTATCCGGAACTTATACGACGGACTACAGTGCAAAGTGGTGCATGGAGGACAGCTGACAGATGCATTTCCAGTTAGGACCGGAATGAGACGAGGCTGTCTACTCTCCCCCTTGCTCATTCTCCTGGTGATTCAATAGATTATGAAGACATTGACATCTGGGAAGAAGCACGGAATACAATGGACATCTCAGAATGAATTACACGATTCGGATTTCACAGATGACCTGACGCTCCTATCTCATTCACACGAACAAATACAGACGAAGACAACTAATGTAGCAGCAGTCTCTGTATCAATAGGCCTCAACATGCATAAAGGAAAAAGCAAGATTCTCGAATACAACACGGAGAACACCAGCCCAATCACACTTGATGGCGGAACTCTGGAAGATGTAGAATCATTCACGTAACTGGGAAGCATCATTGATAAACAAGGAGGATCTGATGCAGATGTAAAGGCGAAGATTGGCAAAGCAAGGACCGCATTTCTACAATTGAAGAACATATGGAACTCAAAACAACTGTCAATTAATTTCAAAGTGAGAATCCTCAATCTGAAAGTCAAGACAGTCCTACTGTACGGAGCTGAAACATGGAGAACTACTACAACCATCATCGAAAATGTGCAAGTATTTACAAACAGTTGTCAATGTAAGATATTCAATATCCGTTGGCTAGATACCATCAGCAACAGCCTACTGTGAAAGAGAACAAATCAACTTCCATCTGAAGAGGAAAATAGGAAAAAAACTTCGGAAGTGGATAGGAAATACATTTTTAAAATCACCAAACTGTACCTCAAGGCAAACGTTAATTTGGAATCCTGAAGAAAAGAGGAAAAGTGGTAGGTCAAAGAACACATCACGCCAGCAAATTGAATCATAAATGAAAAGGATGATTGTTAACTGGAAAGAACTGGAAAGGATTGCCCAAAACAGGGTAGGATGAAGAATGCTGGTGTGCGGCCTATGTTCCTCCACGAGGGGTAACAGGCGAAAGTAAAAATAAAAGTAATAATTTCTAGGTCTCTCAAGATCTGGAAAGGGATAAAAGAGACAGTCACTTCAACATTTAAGGCGGTTCTGTGCCACAAGAAGCACCACCGCAAGGAATGGATCACTGTTGATACACTGTATGACATTCACGAAAAGAAGAAGAAGCAGAAATCAATATCCGCCAAACAAGAGCAGAGAAAGCTAAGCACTCACGGACCTCCCAATCGATGTTGGCCCACCAACCCTACAATATAACTTTCTGTCACATGTTTTTACTCAACTTTCTAAGCTAGTCGCTAATGGAAAAATCCAGAACGTGTATTTTATCCTATCTGGTTCTTGTCAAATGCAAATATTTTGATCGTAGCGCTGATGTACTGTAACAGCAATAGCAATAACTTGTCATGGCAAATATTTCACAGTATCAATCTTGTAACATTACAACATATTTCCGTACAGCACATATTTAACAAACCTTTTTCTAAAGGTCAATAACTTCCATCGAAATTTCTTTTACCAGTTTAGCTATTACAACCATTTTTTTAGATACATGAACACAAATAAAATAAATTGAGATCATGAACCAATCAATGTTAGGCCACCATTGAAAACCTCGAAGCATTGGACGACCGTTTCGTCCTAGTATAAGATCCCTCACCAGTGCACAACAACAAACTCGAAATCAGGATTCCAACCCACGATCTTCTGTCTTGCATGCGAATGCTTCAACTCTAGACCACTGATTTGGCATCCAACGGTGTTAATGTCTAACTTCAATCGATCTATGGTCTTACGTAACCCTTCGTCCACCGTGTAAGGTGGATAACTGTTTCATACCTGACATGGATTGGAGTTCACTGGTCACAATTTTTCACCAGAACTCCAAGGATAACCTTTCAAAGTTAGTGGAATCCCGCGTACGGGATGGTGTATGCGCACTTTTGAAGAGTCTTATACTGAGAAGAAATGGCCATACAGTGTTTCCAGGTTTTCAATGGTGGTCTAACATTGATCGGTCTATGATCTTAGTTAAAACTCAACAATTTCCACAGCCATATAGTCAATTAAATTCATCTCTTGCTTTGTTCAAAAGATAGACAAAATGGAAAATATGCTATCGGAGTATTTAAGTATTTAGCATTTCAGATGTTTATAACTATTTTGTAATAGTGGGGGGGGTAAGATGTTGTCATTCATATGTATTAAGTTCAAATTAATGTAAGACAGTAAAACTGGAAAATAGGTAACATAAACATTTGATCACACTGCCATATATTAACAATATTAAACTTAAACTCAATTTGATTCATTTTAATCATCCAATGGTCATTCATTAATCTAGTGATATTTGAGTTCATAAGTCACTTGAGGCTAGATCGCTACGGAAAACCTTTAAGCACTGGACAGCCATTTCGTTCTACTGTAGGACTCTTTATCAGTGCGTATCCACATTCCCAGCTCGCGGGATTCCAACTCAGGACCTATCGGTCTCGAGTGTGAACGCCCTAACCTCTAGACCACTGAGCTGGCATCGAATGATTTTAATGTTTGAATTCAACCAATCCATGAAATTTAGCCACCATCCAGGTTTTCCATGATGGTCTAGCTTCAATTGACTAATGAACTCAACTATTAAATTACTATAATATTCACAAAAACCTCTTCTGATAATAATCAACATATGCTCACTAGTGACTGGCTTCAAGAGGTATTGCCTGGAGTTCTAGTGAGAAGCAATGACCAATGGAATTCTAACAGGTTTGTTGTGAGATAGGAACTCAATGAAGACATTAGTGGACGGTTGCTCAATTTCGTGGATTAGTTGAAGTCCAGGGTTTTCTGTTGACCACCTCCAACCACCACCTTACCTCGATAAGTATAGTGCACGCAGTGTCGAGCCACCTAGACTGGTGGCCACATTGCAACTCAATCGATAACATTCGATCAGCACTAAGAAGGACTTGACACGCATGACATTGATCACCATTCAGTGATCAGTCAATTGTGATTACATCTCAGTCCTATAGGAGGTTGGTCGCGGCCTGAATAGCTCAGTGGTAACGTTTCTGACTGTGAAGATGAGTGACACGGGATCGAAACAGCCAGGGAGCACCAGTTCCCTCAAGATTACAGGTACACCTTGCTGACGAGTGCCAAGTAGCATGAAACCCGGGTCCAGTGTTTCCGGTTGACCACCTTCAACCACCATGTTACCTCAAGACATTAACACCGTTGGATGCCGACCGGCTCAGTGGTCTAGTGGTTAAGCGCTCATGCGCAAGCCTGATTGGTCGTGGGTTGGAATCTCTCGAGACGGGATCATGGATGCGCACTGCTGAGGAGTCCCACAATAGGACTAAACGGCCATCCAGTGCTTCCAGGATTTCCATGTTAGTCTAGCTTCAAATGATTTATGATCTGAACTATTAAAATTATTATAATATCTACAGAAACCCCTTCTAATAATTGAAACGTATTTTGAAACTAATTTCTAATTTGGTAAGCAGAGATGGATAGTGGCTAGCGTCACTTCATCCTATTTGTAACTCGTCAGCTGGATGTACCTTCATCTCAGAGTTAATGTTCACTCTGGGACTCGAATCCAGTACCCTCGCATCAAATGCCATCACGTTATCCACTCGACCAATGAGTCCTCATAGTCACTTGCTTGTGCAATGGGGTGAAGTTTAAATTCAACTTAATATTGTTTGTTTGAATGTTCCCATCGATGTGTTAGGACTGCAACTGGTCAGTCTCTAATTGGTTTATGTGCATACTGTGCATATTGCCTCGATATAGCCTTAATTCACAAGCATGGTTAGCAGAGATGGATAGTGGCTAGCAGTGGAATCCAAGACGCGCGTTTCGTTGAAATAAACAATACTAAATTAATTTAATTTCTAATTTAATTTACTAAATATCTTTATGAATACAGGTTTATTCATGAAATTATTGATTTTCTTTTATTCTCTTTTAACCTTTTCCTACCAAATATAATAATTTTCATTCATTGTTTTTCTAAGTTCTGGGTGTTTACCAATTTAATAAAATGTAAAGTGTTTCCCTCTCCCCCCCCCACCCTAACTCCTTCCTCCCTCCCTCCCTCCCTCCAATTCAAAACTTTCTTTCCTTATGACCATAGTAACATTAGTCACAATAAATTTAAAACAAAAACAAACAAAAATTACCAATTTTAAGTCTACTCTACTTGTTTCCTTTTTAACTCATGGACTGACTGGTTTTTTTTAAATAAAACTATAACTGACTTAAATATATACACTTGGTTATGACTCATTACTACGCCCTATATGTATTATAATTTACACAGTTATAATGATTATGACATTAGTAATGTCCCTGTATTCTCATCATAATTCTCTTATCTGATTGGTGATTAAAAATTTCAACCAATTATATAGTATTATCATACAAGTCATACATTTGGTAATATAGAACAGTAACAACAACAACAACAACAAATAGGAGTAGACGTTTAAATATTGTACTATTGACTTGGCAACCAGAAACAAGTGATTTTTCATTTGTTATTATCTTTCTCATTCATTCATTCATTCATTCATTCACACACACCCACACACTCACCCACTCTCTCTCTCTCTCTCTCTCTCATTGAATCAGTTAGTGAATAAATCAGGTGATTTGAAAATATAAAGATTTTTTTTTTCTTTCTTTAGGCACCCACATATCACTGATTGTATTATAGTTTCTGATTATTATTACTATTACGTTATAAGCGGGTAACCAAAATCACAAAGTATAAAAATGTTCATAGAAAATCAATTTTCCAATATGTATATATAGATATATATTACAAATATCAGTCTAATTTGCATTCATAGTGATTAGTAACAATAATCAACATCGTTATGTTGTTGCTGTGATTGTTATCGTTGTTGCTGTGCACATATTTAATTGTGAAAATTTGCTTTATTTACATGTAATAACAATGATACATATACATGGAATATAGATTAGTATAATTTATTATTATTCCTATATTATTCTATTCAAATGTACAATTGAGAATTACTGTAATAACTGATTACATAATAAAAAGAAAGAATCATTTCTAATTTATTAAAAATGTTTCCAATTCTTGAAGAAATCAATTTAAATTGTCAATTATCAAATGAATTATGGTAAGTCAAATAATGTTTTTGTGAATAAGAAATATAAAAAAAAAAGGTAATTAAAATTGTAAACAAAGATAGATAGTGACTAGCATTGGAATCCAGTTTGACGCGCGTCAATTCATTCTATTTGGAACTTGTCAACTGGATGTACCTACATCTTAGAGTTGATATTCACTAAAGGGACTCGAACCTAGTACCATCGTTTTAAACGCTATGGAGTTATTCACTTAGCTACTAAGTAAAAACTAAATCATTGTATTGATCTACATCAAAAAAAAGAATGTATTATATACCCTTAATTATAGGGAATCAATTTAAAATTAAGTTTGGTTTTTCACTTAGTATTACTTGTTTGAATTTTCCTATTGATATTTACGAATGCGACTGGTCTAACGCTATATCGAGGCAATACGCACAGTATGCACATATACCAATAAGAGACTGATCAATTGCAGTCCTAAACATCAATGAGAAGATTCAAACAAACAATACTAATTGAATTTAAACTTGATTCCATTGTAAAACCAAGTGGCTATCAGGACTCAATAGCTGAATGGATAACACGATGACGTTTGAAGCTAAAGGTACTGGTTTCGAGTCCCAGAGTGAATATCAACTCTGAGATGAAGATACATCTAGTTGACGAGTCCCAAATAGGACGAACTGGTGCACGTCCTAGATTCCACTGCTAGCCACTATCCATCTTTGCCTAAGTTTCGTTTAGTTTTTTTTTTTCAAAATCCAATTTAATGTTTTAGTTCTTTAAAAAAATGGTTGTAAATTCAAACAAATTTATCTAATTGACGGGTGACAATTAATGAAAATATAGTCAAGATTTCATTAAGGTCCATATCTTCTTCATAAACAATAAAAATATCATCCATATATCTTTTATAGAAATGAAGTCTTTCAATTATTGATCGAAGTGCAGAATGTTCTAGAATGATTCTGAAACAATCAGCCAAGGGAAGATCCAATGATGATCCTATCGGAACTTTATCTGTTTGTCTATAGAAAACAATATTAAATCTAAATTGTACGTTGAGTATATATCGTAGAAATAGTTCTTTAAGATCATGTTTTAGGATACACATATCAAGATGATTGTTTTCAATATAGTTTCTGTAAGAGGAACATTTGTAAAAACAGAAATGAAATCTAATGAGAACATTTTCTTACCAATTACGTTAATATTTCTAATTGAGTTGACACGTTTAAGTATATAATTAGACAAAACATATAAATTTCTATGTTATATATGACAGTGGTTAGGCGCTCGTGCTCATTGGTGACTGGCTTCAAGAGGTGACTAGTGTAGTTCAACCAGGTCTGTACTGAAATAGTAAATTGGTTGAAGTTGGACATTAAAACCGTTGGATTTCGGCTCACTGGTCTATAAGTTAAGCGCTCGCGCGCGAGACTGATACGTCCTGGGTTCGAATCTCGTGAGGTAGGATCGTGAATGCGCAATGCCACTGAGAAGTTCCACAATAAGACGAAACGGCTGTCCAGTGCTTTCAGTTTTTCCATGATGACCTAGCTTCAATTGATTCATGATCTCAACTATTAAAATTACTATAATATCCACAAAATCCCTTCTGATATTACATTTCTGTTTGTTTTACTGAACTAATATTGTTTAATAGGTGAGTTATTTACTCACGTTGTTTTTTATTATCTAGATGAACTTCATTCGTAATGTTTTCAATCATTGATAGTTGTGATGTTTTCGGCTATTTAAATCATTTCTCCTTGTATTTAAATGAATTAGATATGGATATCTAAGTGGAGTTTTCAATTTTTTTCACCTGAAGTTATCAATTACTGTCTACTATGAACATACCATTGAGGCGTGTATCCAACATTCCGGATAGGAAATAGAAATATAATGAGTATTAGGACTTGGAAGGTAATCCCTAGTAAAAAAAGAAGAAACTACACTCAAATGCCAGTCAACAGAAAAATTACAGAAAATGCTTGACTCACTGGTTGAATAGTGAATAGGTTTAGTATAACTTTAGATTATAACAGTTTCATAGGAGTTACGGATGTAACATATTTCCCATAGTGTTTACGATGACACAAATAAACTGAAATCATTATATGTGAAGTCAAATAAAAATGTTCCACAATATTTAACATAACATATTACTTACATTACATTGCAGTGTCTAGTACCATGTCAAACCTACATGGGTCATTCTAGTTTCCATACTGACTAATTTATTCAGTCTTTTTGAGTCACATTTTAATTTTAAAGTTGAATTCATGAGAACACTACGGAAAACATAGAATCACTTGACGGCTGTTTCGTCCTATTGTGGGACTTCTTAGTAGTACACATCCACCATCCCGCTTCGGGAGATTCAATCCCAGGATCTATTGGTCTCGCGTGTGAATTCTCAACCTTTAGACCACTGAGCTGGATAGCATCCAACGGTGTTAATGTCTAACTTCAACTAATCCACGAAATTTAGCAACTGTCCACTATTGTCTTCAGTGAGTTACTATCTCACAACAGACATGATTGAATTCCACTGGTCACTGCTTCTTACTAGAACTCCAGACAATATCGTGAATGCGCACAGCCACAGAGGAGTTTCACAATAGGATGAAACGGCCATCCAGTGCCTCCAAGTTCTCCATTGAGATCTAGTTTCAATTGACTCATGATTTCAACTAGACGACAGTTTTGTCGTTATTGTTGTTGTTTTAATTTAAGAAAAAAAGACAAACCAACATTCTAATTTCATATATATTCATCATCATCATCTACAACAACAACAACAAAAGATCAAAGAGATTTAGTGTTAACCAATTTATGTTATGCAAAGAAACATTAAATTCTATTATGTCTATGTGCTAATTACTGGAATTCATCATATTGTTGCATTGTATCAAATTTCGAAATTTATTTCCAATTTTTTTTTGGTTTTTTAGATTTCTCTATATTGAAGAATCATAATGTTGTTTTTTTTCTTTTTTTATGTATGTGTGTGTGAGTGAGTGAGTAGGTGGGTGAGTGAGTGAGTGAGTGAGTGAGTGAGTGAGTGAGTGAGTGAGTGAGTGAGTGAGTGAGTGAGTGTATCTATGGTTTTACTCAAAGTTTTCGTTCGGTCACTAAGTATATAAAAAAAACAAAAAAAAATACTCATATTGTTTCTATATGTGAAAGTTTTATTCATGAGAAATAGTTAAATGTTTGTTAAGGGGTTTGTTATTTTCTAATTCTGCAATTCTTATATTCTGAAATTCGTGTTATTCGCAGGTTTTAGATAATTAGACACTTTGTTTTTCACATTTAAAAATAACAAAAATGTCATGTATTAGAGACTGACCAGTTATAGTTCTAACAAATCGATGGGAAGATTCAAACAAACAATACTAAGTTGAATTTAAACTTCACCCCATTGCACAAGCAAGTGGCTATCAGGACTCAGTGGCCGAGTGGATAACGTGATGGCGTTTGAAGAAAACGTCATTGGTTTCGAGTCCCAGAATGAACATCAACTCTGAGATGCAGTTACATCCAGCTGACGAGTCCCAAATAGGGAGAAACGCGTGTCAAACTAGATTCCACTACTAGCCACTATCCATCTCTGCTAACCATGCTTGTGAATTAAGGTTATATCGAGGCAATACGCACAGTATGCACATATGCCAATAAGAGACTGACCAGTTGCAGTCCTAAACGTCAATGGGAAGATACAAACAAACAATACTAAATGAATTTAATGTTTATAATAGTTTTTTTTCAGAAGAAATAGTCATAAATATCTTTTATCTTTCTGAAGTTTATTTTGAACATAAAGCATAACTGAAACCAAAGATGGATGTTGGCCAGCAGTGGAGTTCACGACGTGCATTTCGTCCTATTTGGGACTCGTCAGCTGGATGTATCTACATCCCAGAGTTTATGTCCATTCCGAGACTTGAACCCAGTGACGTTTGCTTCAAATACCAACACGTTATCCACTTAGCTATTGAGTCCAGATAGCCACTAGCTTGTTAAGTGGGATGCACATATACTAATAAGAGACCAATCAATTACAGCTCTAAACATCAATCGGGAGATCCAAACAAACAATACAAAATGAATTTAAACTTCACTTTATTGAACAAGCAGGTGGCTATCAGGACTCAGTAGCTAAGTGAATAACGTGATAGCATATGAAGCGAACGGTATTGGATTCGAGTCTCGGAACGAACATAAACTCTAAGATGTAGGTATACCTGACTGACGAGTTTCAAATAGGAAGAAACGCGCATTCTGAATTCTATTGCTAGCCACCAACCATCATTACTTATATCGCTTGTGACCTTAGACGACATCGAGGCAATCCGTACAGTTTGCTGATATGTCAATGAGAGACTGATCAATTGAGTAATTTTTATATATACTTGAAACTCCCTTATCATATGCTCACTAGTGGCAGGCTCCATGAGGTATTTCCTGGAGTTCTAGTGAGAAGCAGTAACCAGTGCAGTTCAAACAGGTCTGTTGGGAGATATCAACTCACTAAAGACAATTGGTGAATGGTTGCTCAATTTCGTGGATTTGTTGAAATTAGACATTAACACCATTGGATGTCGGCTCAGTGGTTAATCGGTTAAGTGCTCTGGCGCGAGAATGATAGATCCTGGGTACGAATTTCGTGAGGCGGGATCGTGGATTCGTACTGCCACTGAGGAGTTCCACAATAGGACGAAACAGCCGTCAAGTGCTTTTAGGTTTTCCATGGTGGTTTAGCTTCAATTGACTCATGATCTCAACTCTGTAATATCACTAGATGGTTTGTGAGGATAGTTTTCCATTTATTTATTTACTTAATGTCATTTACATATGTGTTTAGTTTTGGCTGCGATCAACGACCCATTTCTTACATACATCAATCGATTTCTGATCGATGTTTTATTATCGTCCGTATTACCAAAGACATTGTGATACTATTTCAGTGTTATAGTTGTTCCCTTATTCAGGAATTTGAAATGTTCAGAGAAGAGCC